CTCTCCTCTCCTCTCCTCTCCTCTCCTCTCCTCTCCCCAGCATCCTTCCCTTCCCTGTACCTGGCTCAGCTCTACAGGCATGTTACGATGGTAAGTCCAAGTGCAGCTGTCCCCATCTTCCCCAGCTGCTCCGCACTTCCCATTTTAGTCCTGCTCGTTCTGTAAAAGCCCAGAGCTGGGCGCCGAGACCTGCCAGCTAGGAGGCTGCTATGTTTAACTAGTCTCTCCCTAGCTGCCTCTCTATAAATAAACCTCCTGTTGCCGCAGCTCTGGGCCTGGCAAGCCTGTACCAGCCCCAGGGGGAAGGAGAGAGGGGAACAGCTTCTGAACAAGGAGCTTCCAGGCCGCTTTCGCAGCTCAACCGCCATGGCAAGGCCAGATGCTGCTTCCCTGCGCCCTCCTCGCTGTGCGAAGGACGCTGGGCGTGGGGCTCCGGGTATTTGGTGAAGCTGGGTGTTATTTTTATGCCTCCTTCCCCTCCTCCCTCCTATCACCCGGGTGTTCCCGAAGCGAGGAGTTGGTAGCAGAGTTTGGGGTTGATCTGGAATGCCATCTCCTTCCCCGATCTGTAATTTTTCAGTCCAAGAGTGAGAAACTGAAATGAATCCTCAGCTAAACAGGAACTAAGTGGTGTTCGTGTATGCTACAAATAAGAATTGTACCTCCAGAACCCGCAGACATTATTTTGACCACATAAAACTGAGAAATATTGTTTCTATGCAGTGATCCTTCTGACTGAATCTGTATTATCTTGGAAAGGGCAAATCACTTAGCAGTCTTTTCCTATTCCCTTTCTCCCTTCCCCTCTGAAGACCTTTTCATCTGAGCTCTTTTTAAAAAGACATCTAATTTTGTTGTTAGCAGTTACAGTGCTACAAAAATAATTCTGAAGACACAAAATTGAGTGAAATTAAATCTTCCATTTATGGAGGGAGACCAAACGGTTGGGCTCTTGCTGCTTTATAAGGCAAGAGACTCATAAATCAGCCAGCTCCCTGCCTCCGGGGGCTGGAGGAGCGGTGGGTGTCCTCAGCCCGGTGGGAGATGACCTTCCTGTTACCTCCAGCCCACGAGTGTCAGATCATTGTTCCTCTCCCTCGCTGGCATTCGGGAATTGCCTCTAATCACCAATTTGTAGCAGGAACCAGGTATTCGCTATGGGTCTGTTTCAAAGCTAGCATTGCCAAAGAGGATGCAACTGGAAAGAAAGGAAAAAATAAAGAAAAAGGGCTGTGATCTGCTATGTCAGCCTCTGGCTCCTTTAGAACACTGCTCGTTTTGAAGCTCGCTCTCCATCTCTGCACCAGTGCCTTTGCATTGGCCGGAGGGGGAGCAAATACCCCCAAACTATGGCTGTAAGGCATTGAGCCTGGATTAAATATTTCCAGCTAAACTTGGATCTGCTGGACTTTTCAGGGGGTATTTCAGGACTCAGAACGTCATCGTCCAGGTCAGGGTAAAGGTTTCCCTGCCGTCTTTCAAAGCATCGCCTTCCCCACAGGTCTGCAAGGTGGTGAACGCCACAGCGCTGGCCTGCCTCGCGCCCCCCCTCACCCCTGAGTACCGGCCCGGCCTGGACGCTGTCGAGCGGCCGGACGAGTTTGGGTTTATCTTTAACAACGTGCAGTCGCTGCTGGTCTACAACGACACCAAGTTCATATACTATCCTAACCCGACATTTGAACTCCTGAGCCCGACTGGGGTGCTGGAGCAGAAGCCGGGGTCACCCATCATCCTGAAGGTAAGGAGACCCTTACTCACCCAGCAGGAAGAGGCAAAAAAACCCCAGAGAGTGGAATTTTCTACTCCCTTCGGAGAACGGGGTACGCTAGACTGAGTCCCGTCGTTTGCACAAGCTGGGAATGAGATGAAGATCATAGAATCATAGAATCGTTTAGGTTGGAAAAGCCCTTTAAGATCATCCAGTTCAACCATTAACCTGCACTACCAAGTCCACACTATACCAATCAAGGGTAGACTAGACTGAACCATGTCCCCAAGTGCCACCTCTGCCTGTTTTTTTGAACACTTCCAGGGATGGTGAAAAGCGGAGAAATGCGCTGCGTCTTTGTACAGTCTTCTCTCCCCTTGTCCCTAGGGCAGAAACCTGTGCCCACCCGCTCCTGGAGGAGCAAAGCTCAACTACACCGTGCTGATCGGAGAGATACCCTGTGCCGTCACCGTCTCCGAGACCCAGCTGCTGTGTGAGCCGCCAAATCTCACCGGACAGCACAAAGTGATGGTGAGGGACCAAACGCTCCTGGCAGCATCCCTTCCCTCCCTCCCTGCCATCCTTTCTCCTCCTCTGCCATCTCCCTGACTCACTCAGATACTGAATGCAATTCCTTGTCCAAGGAGCGGTAGGATTTTAGATTTTGATGGCTAATTGGAAGCTTAAAATATTGTTGTGGATTAGCACGGAGAAACTTACTCCCTCCCTGAGACTCACCACCTGCTATCAGAGCCTTCTAGAAGGAACAAATCCTTCTGGCAGTGCCTTCAGTACCAGGTACCATCCTTTCCCTGGTGCTGCTTCCTACAGTAGGTGAGACTATTTTCAGTGGGCTGTGTTCTCCCTCCTGTAGGGTAGGAAGGGATTTTATCAGTCCTTGTAGCCAGACCTGATCTGCTGAGTGGATGGAAAAGGTTTGCCTTTTCCTGAAGCAGAAGCAGCCAGGACATCTGAACACTGGACTGATTGGATCAACGTCCTCATCCAGGGTAACAGTCGGTGCCTTCCTCTGCTTTGGTTTTGGGCATTTCTGCTTCCTCCGATCCGCTCACAGACCAAGCACGCAGCTGCCGAAGTGCTTGAGTAGAGCCCAAATGAGGTTGTAATTGTGATTTATTTCCCTTTAAGTTCAGCATCCAAAACATATTCGGATTATCACAGTGTGATTCACAGAAGCGCAACCTGGCTGAGAGCTGCTCGCATCTGTGGCCAGGGCACATCCAAGAAAAGCAAGTCCTGGCATTCACCTCCAGCGTGGTTGCTCTGTAGCTTTCACATGGGGCTTTCTCTTCCCTTCTCTGTTCTCCCTCTCCAGCCACTCTGGTTTCTTGTCTGTGGAATTATCACTGGGTTGCTAATGTCCACAGTTTACAAAAGCGAGTTGAAAGCTTATAAAATGAAAGTCAAATGGAGCCATCAGATAATAAGAACAAAGCCCAGATAGTGAAGGGCTGGCCCATTTATCATGATTTGAAGCCTCCCTGTGTTCCCATAAGCTGCACCCTCTGTGTTTGAAGGCAACCGGGGTTGCTGTAGCCTTAGCTGGAAGCGAGATGGTTCAGTGCTTCCTTAGCAGGCGGTACAGCCCCTGCGGCGCGTGCCCTGGCCGCGAAGGACGGGGCTTTGGGACAGGCTTACACCCGTACCCGAAGCTGCTGGTTACCTCCGTTGTGCTTTGTAGGTGCGTGTCGGTGGTATCATCTTCTCCCCTGGTTCGGTGAGCATCATCTCGGACAGCCTCCTGACCCTGCCAGCCATCGTCAGCATCGCAGCCGGAGGCAGCCTGCTCCTCATCATCGTCATCATCGTCCTCATCGCCTACAAGCGCAAGTCCCGAGAGAATGACCTGACCCTCAAGAGGCTGCAGATGCAGATGGACAATCTGGAGTCCCGGGTGGCCCTGGAGTGCAAGGAGGGTCAGTACTGCCCGGGACCGGGCACTCTCGGTGTGCTGCAGCCCCGCGCTCTGGTCCCCAGCTTTCCCCACCAGAGCCACCCCAGTCACCCGATTTTTTGCAGAGAGGAGCAGGGTGCGTGCCCTGCGAGGCTGCGTGGGAGGGTGGGCAGCGACGAGTGTGTCGGCGGCAGACACGGCTCTGCTGCCTAATGTGCAGAGAATAGGATTAGAGCTTGATCCTGCTTAAGCGACATGCCTGGATCGCATTGCGAGGGCAGCGCGAGCCCCAGGGTGCCCGGCACAATATGGCCCCTTGTCTAATGGCCTTTTAGTAAAGGGCTTTTAAAAAGGCAGAGTGAGACAGGGAGCGGAGGAGGTTCGGACCCCCAGGAAACAGCGCGCATCCCAAATGGAAGGCAGTAGGGCTGGAAAGCTGGTCCAGCCCCTCCTCCAGTCTATAAGATGTGAGCCCAGAGGGGCAAGAGCAGGTCTGAGGGATAGGAAGAAGCTCCTCAAGCATTTGCTTCTGGGAAATGTTGTGTGTTTGGAGCAGCTAGAGCTGCCGCTTGCGGATCTCAACACACGCAAGTCTCATCCCTTGCAACGAGGCGGCTGAGCCTGGCCTCTCCGCAGGGGAGCGAAGGTGGAGGTGGGTTGAGACAAAAAGCGTCTGGGGAGGGGTGCTGCTGTTGTTTCGTACATCCTTCCAGCTGGAAGGGAGCTTAGTGAATCAAACAAATAGCTGCAAATTTCATGGTGTGACCTCTGGATATAGAGAGAGATGCATTGGATTCGTTCAGCTGATTTTAAAAGGGTAGTCTTGAAAGCCCAGGACAAAAAATGAGATATACTGAGGAGAGACCCCAGCTTCGGCATGGGCACAGCCTAGCTGGGGTGCAGAGACCTTAGAGCCAACATTTCATGCTTTGGAGAATGAACACAAGGACACTCAAACAGCTGTATAACACGGTGATGTTATGTTACGAGAGGAAGAATAAATTCCTTCCTGACCCCTGCAGCAGGCAGTTTCTGCTTGGATTTGTTCTGCATCAGATTTGATTATTTTGGCAACTGTTGATAGAGGGAGGAGAAGAGAGGAAAATACGGGAGGCACCAAGTTATGAAAATAGATCCTCATTCTGTCTGCGGCGTTTAAAGGTGTTTTAGGTGTGTGTACACAGGTGTGAACTGCATACAAATTAATACGCATCTTTTGTTCTCGGCATCTGCTCTGTGCAGCGTGTGTGCTCTCGCTCTCAGCTGCTGAGACAGTCTCCAAGGGTGAGGGTCTGCCTCAGCTACGCGGCAAGGTCTCCTCCGAATCGGTTTCCTGAGCTGGCCCCTTTACGGTTGCTGCCGTGCCCCAGGGAGGCAGCCAGCCCTCCCCAAAGCCCCTGCCCCGCAGCCTCGGCTCCCGGGGCTCACGTGTGTTTCTCTGTCTTGGTCTGTTCTCCCCGAATAGCTTTTGCAGAGCTGCAGACAGACATCAACGAATTAACCAGCGACCTGGATCGCTCCGGGATCCCGTACCTTGACTATCGGACGTATGCCATGAGGGTCCTTTTCCCCGGCATCGAGGACCATCCTGTGCTGCGGGAGCTGGAGGTAATGACCAGGCTGTGCTCCAGCCCTTCCCTGAGTTTCCCTGAGCCCTCGGGAAAGCCAGCGTGAGATCCTGAAGCATCTTTATGCCTTCCACACCAAATCTTACTAGAGGCACTGGGGTTAGCAGGATGAGCCCCGAGTTCATTTTAACTAAGAAGCTGGTGTTTTATCTCCATTGCGCATTGCTTGATTCCTTTCGGTTTCTTCTCCCCGGTGTTGCTTTAGTTTTATTTTATAGGGTTTTATATTGCTATAGGCCAGCAGCAAAGCGTGCCAGGTAAGTTATCGGTGCTCTTTTAAAGTCCTCCTTAAGCACCTTCTGGTGCAGGGGGAGGCTGTGCGCCTGGAGCATCCTGCCTGGAGCATCCTGCTGCTGTTCCGTGGCGTGTCCACAGGATGGCAAGCGCCGTGCCTAGGCATGGCCGGCCTCTCGCTCGGCTCTGAGCAAGCACTTCAGTTTTCCTGTTTTTTTCCACCAGTATGTGTAAATGTATGCATAAGGTTTTCCCTCAGGATTTAGAAAAATAGTTAACGTACAAGGGTCCATCAGATCACCTTGCAGATGGGCCCTGCTCACCTGTGAGAGCGCAAAAAAAAAAAAAAAAATTATGGTGCTTCAAGAAACTTTATCTGCCACCGAGCATGGGGCTGCCGTCCTCCACCTGGGATGCCCAGAGGTACCGGCCTCGGCGCTCCCTCTCGGAGACTGGCATTGCTCCCGTAATTCCTGAAAGTCCTATTGCCTTCACGCAGACGGGGTGGTGGCCCAAATCTTCAGCCAGAGATGTAAGAGGAAGAAGTCTTGATTGCTTGTGCTCCATACGGCTGCATTGCTTTTCCGGGCAAGCACTACTTAGCATTAATGCATCGAATTAGATTCCTTGCCAGTGGGCCACCACCACTGAGCCGTAGCCGTGCTGTTGGTAAAGCTCAGCAGGCTTTGAACCAGCCTCTCCCAGCCTATTCCCGTGCCCTGAGTTTTCCAGTCTCACGCATTATGTTCGCTGTTTAAATTGCCAAATAAGCTGATGCTCTAGCAAACAAATATGAACGCTTTTTATTTTACTCATGAAAAACAGAATTCTAGAAGTGATAAATGTGTTGCCAATTACACAGTTGCTTAATTATGTAACGTTAGTAAAACCAATACATAAGTCTCCAAGATGTTTGGTAAAGAGTTGCTTAATGTAGTTCATCATTTTCACTTGTAATGAATTACTTGAATCTGCAACCGGCTGAAAGCCTCAATTAATTTTTTACGCTTGTCCCATAATAAAGCAATAGTCTAAATTAGTATTTAATTTACTTACAAGAGTGTCACTTTTTGTGCAGAACAAGCAAAATTGTATGTCATTTATAGGGCCGTTAGCCTCAAAGCAGCAGCTTTATGGCATGCAGAGTACAGCTCGGAGCAATGATTAAAGCGAGCCGTGCTGAGGTGCTGGGGGAGGACAGAAAGAGTGAGGTTCGTTCAGGACTGGCCAAAGGCCACGTTCAGGCGTGCTGAGACCCTGAGAGATGGGGTGCTTGCTTGTGCACCCAGGTTTAAACCACTCAGCCCACCCACAGCGATGGCAGAGCGAGCCCGCGGCAGTGCAGGGCTGCCCTCCGGTCCCTTGTCCTCCCGTGCCTTGGCTGATGCGCGTGCTCTCCTCCGCCGCAGGTCCAAGGGAACGGGCAGCAGAGCGTGGAGAAGGCCTTGAAGCTCTTTGCTCAGCTGATCAACAACAAAGTCTTCCTGCGTACCTTCATCCGAACGCTGGAGCTGCAGCGCAGCTTCTCCATGCGCGATCGTGGCAACGTGGCCTCGCTCATCATGACGGGTCTGCAAGGCAAGCTGGAGTACGCCACCGATGTGCTGAAGCAGCTGCTCTCCGACCTCATCGAGAAGAACCTGGAAAACAAGAACCACCCCAAACTGCTCCTGCGCAGGTAACACGAGGGGACGGGGAGGGGACTGGGCCGTGGGCAGGTCAGCGCAGTCCCCTGGGCTGGCGCGGCCACGCTGCTGGTGGCATCCAGGAGCTCTGCGGGACCAGGGTGCTGGTGTCGGAAGGAAAACGCTGCTCTCCATGGGTGGTGTTGGATGACCCATCCATTTCCTCGCCTGTCTCCAGGACGCAGGGTTAACTCTACTGTATGATTCCACAGATGGCTGAACAGGGTCTTAAATTGGATCCAAGAGAGCTATTACCTCTGGTGCGTGTCTCTCTCGCTCATAATATCCTACCGTGCCGCAGCTCCAGCAGCCCCCCTTCCCCTGGCTTGGCTGAGAGCAGGTGACGATCCAGCACTGTCACCTCTGCCAGCCAGCTGCCTCCTCCCTGCCCTGCCCTGCCTGCACCCACCCGCCTGACCGAGCTCCTGCTTCTCTCACCAGTGTGTGCAGAATGCCCGAGCGGGTCGGCAAAGAGGTTTAGCTCCCACCGCGGGTCCTGTGCACGGCTGTCTCAGGGCAGTGTCATGGCAGGGGGGTGAACGGCACAGAAACTGGAGCTCTCTGTCACGTGCCCGTCGCTGGCAGCGAGCAGTGCCCGGTGCACCCAGGCAGGGAAGAGGAGGCACCAGCCCCGGTGCAGCAGGCTCTGGAGGAGCAGAGGTGCAGCTCTTTAAGTCGCCTTACTGGACTTCGGGCTCTTATGAGCAGGAGGCTGATTTCTTACATGTCTGTACACTACTTAGGGTCCTCGTCTCCCGTGAGCTGCGGTATGATCGTGGTGAGTAAAGCCTTAAAGACCGAGCGAAGAAGCGTGCCTCTCGGGCGGGCAGCGTCGTGAATTGCCCCTGGGGCCGTCGGGGAAAGGCAGGCTGCCCCGCCAGGCTTGGTCCCGCTCCTGACGGCAACCTGTCCTCTGCAGCCAGGGTGCCTGCGTGACCTTCACCCTCACGTGCCCGAGCTACCTCGTAGGTATTTATGGGCTTTATCCCCGCAGCATCCGTGTCTGCCTGGATGGAGCAGCAGTGTTTGTGTTTCAGAGCTGGGGGAAGGAGCTCTAGAGTGGGTTAAGCAACTCGCCCAAGGTCGTGCTGGGAAATGGCAGAAAGAAAAAGGGGAAAAAGCGTGTATTAACGTAGGCCAGATCAGCAGCCACAAGTGAATGGCTACCTCTGTTCTCCGTGCTGTGAGCCGCCTCCATCCCGTGTCCCTTTGGGTCCTGGCTGTGCTGCAGAGCCTGGCCTCGGCCGGCGGCAGGGCCCCATCGGCTGCGCCCACGGCTCCGCCGGCATCTCGCTGGAGCGAGCGGATGAAGGCGAGGGGAGGATTTCACAGCTCCAGGAAAATTTCAGGGATTCCTCCAGCCGTAATGAATGCACTTGACAGGAAATTGCTTTAAATCTGGCTGTGTTTGCGGAGGCAATAACTCGTCTCGGAAAAGGAAGCCGTCTTAATTTCCCCCGTGGTTCGACGAGTCGCTGGGAAGGCGTCTCTCGCTGGAGCGAGCGGATGAAGGCGAGGGGAGGATTTCACAGCTCCAGGAAAATTTCAGGGATTCCTCCAGCCGTAATGAATGCACTTGACAGGAAATTGCTTTAAATCTGGCTGTGTTTGCGGAGGCAATAACTCGTCTCGGAAAAGGAAGCCGTCTTAATTTCCCCCGTGGTTCGACGAGTCGCTGGGAAGGCGTCTTCTGCCTCAGCCATCAATAATGACTTTTCACAGCGCTCCAAAAATACACGGCTGGTGATCAGAGCCGTGCCCACTCCTCCCCGCAGTGCCCAGCAAAGAGACGGGGCCATGGGCGGCGGCGGCAGCAGCTTCGAGGCTGGGTGGCCTGTGCCCGGATTGAGCCATTTCACAGGAAACCTACGGCTGGAGCCCTGTCCCAGCCCTGTGCCCTGCGGGCTCCCGGGCGGTCTTGGTGCACAAAACAGCCCGGGCTGGAGCGGCTTGCTCTGACTTAATAAGGAGTGATCAGCCACAAAGTGAGATACTCTTTGTTATTATTTTTTGAGCTCTCTGGTGGCAGCAGTTCATAATTGGCACTCGGTTCTTTCTCTCTTTCTTCCTCGTTTTCCCCTCTCTCTTTCTTCTGCAACTACCCCTCGCGGGAGACAGCAAAAAAGTTGACGTTAAATCAAATAGCTGCTCTGGTTCCTGGCACAGAGAGCAGCACACAGCAGTTCAGAGACCTAGATATAGCAGGGAAAATTAATAAAATACATATTTATTTTGAGGGTTTTCTCAGCTCTTTTTGTTTAGTTCTGTTTTATTGCCGGTGCCTCAGGAAGTCAGAGGAGCAGCCAAGGCGGTGGTTGCTGGCGTCCGACTCCTTTGGAAAGTCACCTCTGGATCGTGCTTTGCCCTTGTGATGTGGTCAATATGAGAAGGGTTTTCTCCAAGTCTAGGGATTCTCCCCTGCCACGTTCATCTCCAGGAGCTTATTTTTTATTTTTAGAGGCAGGTCTATAATGGCATTTCAGATAGCAGCCCCGCGACGGAGCAGGAGCGATGCCTGCCGAGGGGCGGCACGAAGCCGCGCAGCAGCTTTTGCTGTGGCTCAGCAGACCCCTGCCCGCTCGGCAGAGAGAAAGAGAGGTCAGGCGCGGGGCGGCAGGCAGAGTTTAAGGGATGGCTGACCCTGCCGTCTGGCTCCGATCCCATTTCGAAGGCAGAGGCCAGGGAAAGCACCTGCAGCAGACTTGTTTGCAAGGAGCCTGCAGTGCTCGTGCTGCGCCCAGCAGCGGTGAAGGTCAAGAGCAGCCCCTTTCCTTAGCCGCTGTACGACAGTGATGATTAACTTAATTGTTGGCCATCCCCGGGGCTGATGCACTGCAGATATCTCACGGCGTCAGTCTGTGTCGAGATGGGAGTGAGATTCTGTGCTTGAAGGTAGGGAGAAATGGGATTTGACAGAGATGCTCCGAGGTGTTTCTTTTTTGCTGTTCCATTCAGCTGATTTTGTATTTCTGATAAAGAAATAAAAGGGAACAGCTAGGCTTGGGAGTATCTGATACCCTTCTCCCACACAATATGCTCCAACTTCTCTGTCGCTCCATATTTCAGTTATTTTTACGGTGCTGGTGTTGGTGCCAGACCGTGAGCAGCTGACAGGGACGGGACACGGCGTTACTTCACTGGTAGGGCTAATGGGGAGGCTTGCCAATTCTTAATTTAATATTCTATTAACAAAGTAGTTTATTAAATTAATATTCACCCTGAAATCCCGAATCTATCATTTTCTGAGTTTTCACCTGTTCTTTAGTTTGTAGCACTGATCCTCCCGTTTTCCGTGACTCGCTGGTGTGGCAATGTGCTTGTGCTCCTCCTCCTTAATTGGGTGACTGAAATATTTTAAACGGGAGAACAATGTGTGTGGCAATTTGTAGGATGAATTTTTAGGCAGTTCATCAATTCAGGTTTAAATTCTTTGGGGATCTGCAGACATTTTCACAAATTCCTGGCAGATGTTGTGCTCCTAAGAGATGATGGATAATGTGACCCCGGGTCTGTTTGCCGACCGGTGTCAGTTTTTGTTTGCTGAAATCTGTGGCTCCTGTTTATACTTGATCTGCTTGACTTTGTGATCAAACCCGGTTGCTTCAATAGTGTGTGGTTTTTTCATTAAATGCCAGTTTTCAGACATGCAGGATGCTGTGTAAATACCTGCCAAGGGGCAGTCTCTGATTCAAGGCAGCAGAGCAGATGGGGGAGAATGGGGAAAAGGGGTCCGGAGCGGGACGGTGACTCGCTCCGGGTCAGGGTACGGTGGAGGCAGAGGCTGGGTGCGTTGCCGTGCCCGCTGGGCATCGCCTGAGCTGGTTGGTGGTGCGGTGCTCGAAAAGGCAGCTGGCAGGAACGGCACCCGGAGCAGAGCTGCCGGCCGAGGGGATGAAGGCGCGGAGAGGTGCCCAGACCCGGTGGGGCTGCTGCCTTGCTGCAGGCTCAGGTGAAGGTGCAGGGAGGCATGGTCCCCAGGGGAAAGGGTGCAGCAGAGGGCAAGGCGTTGGCCTCAGCCCTCTTAGCTTGCTGACATTTGGACCAGATCCTATCGCATGTGGCACGAGGGGAAGGCTGGTAGCAATGGCGAAGCCGTGGTGCAGGGAGCCAGGCTGCCCGGGGTCATGCTCGCAGCTGGCGCGGCTGGCAGTGGAGCAGCATCGCCTGCACGGCCTCTCGGGAGCAGCATCGCCTGCACGGCCTCTCGGGAGCAGCATCCCCTGCACAGCCTCTCGGGCAGCCTGGCAGCCCTGCCTGCCACCCCCAGCCTGAGCTGCCGTGCTGGGGCTCCCGTGTGGACTCTGAGACAGCCTGTCCCAGGAAAAGGGATTGTGGTGCTTTAAGGAAACTCACTGGGTCCTGCAGAGCCAGCATTAAAAACTATCATTTGGAGCCATTGTATTTAAATTAGAGATAATCTTGGGCACAATGTGGGGAGAGGACGCTGGGTGGGACTGGGGAGAAAGCTGCAATTTCCCTGCCATTGTCGCTCTGCGGTCCCTGATTGCCAGCAAGGGCTGCAAATCCCAGTGATTGACTGAGCCAGGCTGTAATTTGCACCATGTGCAAGGAGACGAGTGTCACCGGGCTCCCTGTCAGCAGCCCCATCGGGGCGGTGATGGCCGTCAGCTGGGCAAGCTGCTGTCAGCTCCGTGCAGCGAGGCGGGGGGACAGCGCTGGCTGTCACGGCCCCGGTTCAGAGCACGGCGGGAGCTGTGCCAGGGTGCAGCCCGTGGTGCCACCCGGGGAGATTTGGGGACTCCGATGCACGGTTTGGTTTTGCATGTAACATGCGTGTCCTCTGGTTTCCCTAGGACCGAGTCGGTGGCTGAGAAGATGCTGACTAACTGGTTTGCCTTCCTCCTCCACAAGTTCCTCAAGGTAAGGAGGGATGGAGCTGAGACCCCGCTGCCGCTTTGCTGTCTCACCCACCAGCCATCCCCCGGGTGAATCTAGGCTTGAAACCCTTCAGACTCCAAGTCAAAAGATGTAGTAGTAAGGCAGGGGAGGTGGAAATTTGCTTGGAGATGCCTACACCTGGGGCTGCTCTTACATGGGCTGAGCCATGCTGTCACAGCCTCCGTGCTCAGCCTTCTTCAACCCTCAGATCGCCTGGTGTAATTCTCACATAATGCAGTTTCTGTTGCACCTCTTTAGTACTTAGGAGAAATTCTCACTTACATCTCCGTGCCTGGGCTTCCATATTTTTTAACTTTATTTGTGGTTTTGGAAGCCCCATAGAATTTGCTTTATGGGAATGAACGAGATCAACATCTCAAATTCCTTTTTTACAATCATACAGATTCAGTAAAGATTTACCAAGCCAAAGACAACATACCCATTGAGTAAAAGAGCTCATGGCTTTGGCTGTCTTCTCCAGGAGCTGCTGGGGGCTGAGCCTGCCTTGCACATGTGCTAAAGGTTGAGTCAATGGGACTAAGCCTCTGCTGAAATGAATCGTGCAAAACCTGCCTGCAGGCCAGCGGCCCTGGAGGAGATGCACCTTCACCTCTGTGTTAGTTTTGCTGTCTGTCTCGTTGTGTAGGAATGTGCTGGAGAGCCGCTCTTCATGCTCTACTGTGCCATCAAGCAGCAGATGGAGAAAGGTCCAATTGATGCCATCACAGGAGAAGCCCGTTACTCCCTCAGTGAGGACAAGCTGATCAGGCAGCAAATTGAGTACAAGACTCTGGTGAGTGATGATTGTAGAAGCTGCCATTGAATCGCTTCTGTCCTCCCCACCTGGATGTGAGCTATTCTGACCTTTAGGCCAGTACTTGGGACACTACCACGAAGCACGAGTGTTGCCAGTGCAGTAGAGCCTCATGCTGCTAGACCCATGCCCCAGTCAGGTGTGTCCCTAATCTGCAGGTACAAGTAGCCTGAGCTAAGGTTTTGAAAAGCAGGGTTTGAGGGGAGCATTTTATCTGTCTGTGCATTGAGCATTGCCCTTCCTCTAGCAAATGAAAATGGACATCCAGGGCTCCTATCTAGTAGTCGTTATAAAGATATACTAGATGCAACAGCAATGATGCACATAGGGATGTAGTGGTTTTTTATGAGAAAGGGTTGTTGTGACAGATGTGGTTACAGTTCTCCTGGATGCTTGTGTGAAGCCCTTTAGAGCATAGTGTGGTTCTTCTTCCCTTCCAGATCCTAAACTGTGTGAATCCGGATAATGAGAACAGTCCAGAGATCCCTGTGAAGGTGCTGAACTGTGATACCATCACTCAAGTCAAAGAGAAGATCCTCGATGCAGTATACAAAAACGTCCCATATTCTCAAAGACCAAGAGCTGTTGACATGGACTTGGGTAGGAGCCTCCCTGCCTCATAGGAAGGGGAAGATCGGAGAGGTTGTTATTGTCAGTGATTCTCCACACGTTTTGCAGAGCGTAAAAGCTAGAACTCAGGCTGCACGACGACACATGTTTCTGCCCCTAAGAAGCATGGGCACTGCTCCTGCCAGATAGGTTTTGAGCTCTGTGGAATCTGCTAATTGTCCGTTGACCACAGAGCAAGTGATTCCTGAAGCCTCCTTCACTCTGCTGAGCAAAGCTTCTCCCCAAGTTTGTGTATCTTACTAAAGCCAGCGGGGCAGAGGGGCTGGGAAGGTCCTACACCTTAATTTAGCTAAACACTGCAGAACCCTCCATATTGGAATTAAAATGCTGCACTTTGCTGCAAGAAGACTGTCAGCATGACCTTCCTTGTAGCTGTAAGATTTAAGAGCAGAATTTAGCTTTCTCTGGGTGCCTCTTCCTGGGAGGTGGGCTTTTCTACAGGCTCATCTGTCCAGCAGTTACTTGGGCCAGAACTGGATAGAGCCTGTTAGTGCCTTTTCCCTCTCTGACCGTCGTGTCTGCCTGGTTTTTGCCTCTCCCGCAGAGTGGCGGCAGGGCCGGATAGCTCGTGTGGTCCTGCAAGATGAAGACATCACCACCAAGATTGAAGGAGATTGGAAGCGCTTGAACACCTTGATGCATTATCAGGTAAGAAAGCAGCCCCAGCAGACAGCTCCCAGAAAGCTGCCAGGAGGGAAGAAAAGAAAAGCAGAAATGTAATTCCTAAGTATCTCATCTACCAAGACAGACCAGGTCACATTTGTATGATAAACCAGAAGGGTTCAATGTGCTTACGCATTAGATGGGAAAGCAACCTTGACATAGACCTTAAAGAAACTAGCAGAGTTGAAAATTGGCTAAATTAAAATTGCCAGCCGTGCTGGTGAGATAGAGGGAGCAGTGGCAAGGGCTGAGCTGCAGCTGCTGGAGATGCGGGGCCAGGGGAGGGATGGCATGTGGGGCTCAGGTCTTTGCGTGGGGGTCTGAGACAACCAGGAGTGCAACAGGGAAGGAAGAAGAGTCTCTGCATTCCTTCAAAGCTTTGCAAACACCACGTGATGAGGCTGCAGCGGCAGCTCGTCTCTTATGATCTTCCTACATGTTGACTCTTGAGCATCGTGCAAGGAGTGAAGAAGGGAAATAGAGCAAATATTTCATATACTGTCACATGGGAGGGTCAAGGGAGTGCTGCGGGGAGGTACGGGATGAAGCCAGGTCAAGAAAAGGTGAATATCAGGGGCTACTTCTTGACAAAGCGACATCAAACCTCCTAAGTCACAGACCTAGTCTTCCAAGCCCAAGTAGCGGGAGTTTTGCCACTAAAATCACATAAAACTAAGCTAGACAGTGAAGATGCTCTATTGCGCATCGGCCAGGGTGGGCGAGGTGACCTAAGAAATTGTTGGCATCTTTAGCTTTTGCAGCATGCGTGCCCCAGCCCAGCCCGCCCTGGATAGGCGTGCATCTGTTGGAAAGGGCTTCTTGCGGTGTGCGAAAGATGGAAAGAGAGGTAAAGACGGAGCTGAGGAAGGTTTGGTTAAAGAGAATCAAAGGCTTTTACTCAAAGCCTGTCTGCAGCAGAGGATAACCACATTAATTAGGACCTGTAACCTGCTACTGTCCATCACTACCTACACAGAAGCGTTTAGTATTTAATCTGGCATCTTTCCCTGTTTATACACCATCTCGAGTCCATCAGCGTGACTCATGCTGTGTAAGTTGAATGTGAGCCAGTATTGACAGCAGCCATATCATCAGGGAGCGAGGCAGAGAGAATGGCATAAATATGCAAAGTGCGTGTAAAAAAGCTCCTCGAGGGTCAACTTTTCTAAGCAGCCCGAAGGATTTAAACACAGATCACCGTAAAATGTCATACGGGCTGTGCAGATGAATTCCATTGTTTCTAAAGGCTGGTTTACCTGACAGTTGCAAGGGATTAACCAACATGCAGGGAAGCAGCGAGACTTTATTATGCCTTGATCTTTAAAAGTCATCTAAGGAAGTCACAAGTGAAAGCCGTGTTTGTCTGATGTGTGCTGGGTGCGAGGGGAGGGAGTACTTTCATTTTAGTGCCTGTGGGAAAATCTGAGCCACAAGTTTACCCTTAAAATAAACAAAATCCTTGCAGCACTCAAGATGCTGCAGCTATTCCTGCCATTTGAATGTCAGTTTTGCTCTGGAACAAAGTAGAAGTTGCTGCCAAACATGTGAACAGGTAGCAATTGCCCATGTCTCTCCCCACGCTGGCCCGAGCTCTGCGCAGCCCGAGAGAGCTGTCTCAGCCATAAAAAGAAGCCAAATTCTCTGCGCTGCAACAGAAATCTTGTTAAGGCAGGGCTTTTGCCAAAAACAAAATGGTTTGGGGTTTTTTTTTTTTTTTTATTCCTACCAGGTTTTTTTCTGTTTTGAGTAATAAATGTTTTTATTAGGTATCAAAAATACAGGTGCTCCAGGACTACACAGTAAAACAAATATGTGGGCAAAGGCACAGCTTAGAAGAGGGTATAAAATCATTTTGAGTTTCAAGCGCTGCTGTCTCACCATTTTAACAGGAGTTTACGTATAAAACGGGTGTGGTTCAAGGCTTAAAAATGAAATCTAGATTTCTCCAGCTTCTGGAGGACTAGTGGAGATGATTTCTAAATGTCTAGAAGAAATGAAAGCTAGCTCTGTAAAGCTCTCTCCATCCTTTATTCAGACCTGTCTTGTCTTTATTCCTGGTCAGATGCCGTCTACTTTTATCTGCCGATCTGAAGGCAAAGCGATGGCTGGATTTGCACGCGGTAATTGGAGATGCACAGCCCATGTTTCCATCCGATAACCCCGGGCGTTTTGTAGTATTTTGGAGAGGCACTGTCACCTGGGAGTGAGTGCTGAAGCAAGGACCAGACGCTGCCCGGTCCTTGCAGCCTTACCCCTGCTCCTGATTTCTGGGGTCCCTTTGCTCCGCAGCCGCGTTCCTGCAGCTCCTGGGCTCCTGCTCCTGCCAGGGACCAAACCAGCCTCCCCCTGCTCACCGTGCTCTGGGCCCGCTGGGGAGGCTCTGCGGAGGGCAGCTATTTAATTCCAAGAGTTTCCCAGCTCCACACCTGGCTGCTGGATTTTGACACCATTACATTTGTTTTCTACATGTTTAGGATGATAAAAGTACAATATATATCTGCATCAACCGATGAAATGTGGTTTTCGTAGGAAGCCTTCGCCTGCAAAAGCCAGATTGGATTTAAAAAGAAATATTCATCTTTCTGTACTATTTTTTGAACCACTTCATAGAATTATATAGAGAACTGTATGCCTGCTGCTTATTTCTTCATTTATAAAAATAGATGTATAGGTTAAATAGGTGTAATTCTTTGTTAAATTCTCTGGGGCTTTTAAACTGTGTTGTAAGGAATTGTATTACATTTGTGTAGTACCCTTTTGGTTTCATGCCTATTAAACTCCATGGGAGAGTCTCACCCTGCATGGTTTTACTCAAGAAAAATGAAACACTGAATTTAATATCAAATGATTTACAGTGGCTCATGCAGGGTTAACTCAGAGGCAGCAGAGCATGAATACCTGTCAGCCACTGTGAGTCTGGAAAGGCCAAGAGACTAGAAAACTATTTTAAATGAAAAATTAGAAGCAGAGAGGGAAGATTTGTGTGGAAAATGAGACCCAGGAGCCGAGGGTGGCGTGGCCACGGGGCTGGCATCCTCACGGCATCCTCGCTAGCCCACGCAAACACAGTAGTGTCTGGGCTTCTGCGCTGCTGCTCTCCCCGCTCCAGGTTTTCTTTTTCTTTTTTTTTAATGTGTTTTGTGCAGCATGTTTCCAGCTCATAGAAGAATCAGAATATTTATAAAGTTATAAAACAGCCAGCCAGCTTTGCAGGCGTCTCTGGGGCTTTATGGGAGTGTGGCAACAGCAGAGCGAGATGGGAAACGAATGTGTGTTACATCTGATGCTAATTTGCACGCTGGTGTTTTTTAGCTGACAAGAGCCATTCGACCCAAAATTTAGAGAGTGAGAGTGCTCTGTGTGTGTGTGTGTGTGTGGAATTTTTAATGCTTCTCTCCCAGTTAACCACAGCCCTGGTAGAAACGGATCCCGGCACGGCGGCCGGGGAGCTGCTGCCTCCATGGGAGCACCCTGGGCTGCCGGCGCGCTCAGGTTCCTCCCTAGTGAAATTGAACTGAAGTGGCAGCTAATAGCAGCGTAAGAAAATAATATCGCCACTGATCATTTCTTCCATTGACTTAATAAATTGGATGAAGTGAGGCAGGAGCAGAAGAGGAAATAACAGAGGTGTTTGAAGTGTTTTGCTTAGGAATATCTCACTTCTGTACTGCGAAACACAAGTGACTATTATTTCCACTCTCACTAGCAATAATAATAACTCGCATTTACGTGAAACCTTTCATCTGAGCGGAACCCAAAACCTTGGAGGGAGCCTTAGGCAGCGGTGGTCGCTGCGTGGAGGTCACCTCGCGGCGGCAGAGGTTGTGCGAACGCCCCTTCTGCTGATGGCGCGGGGAGATGCTGGGGGCAAAGTCCAGCTGCTGCCCCGGAGCTTCCCCACGTGCAGGGACAGCGCCGAGCCCCTCGCAGGACTCCGGGCAAATAATGGAGGACTTAGCCCCAAAAGCGATTTTTCCGGCATGAAGAGGCATTACTCAGCTCCTCTGAGTAACGTGTTGGCTGGGCGCCGGTGGGTCCGGCAGCCTGCGAGATGCGGTGACTCCACTCTCCGCTCCCTCCTCTCCGCTCCCTCGCCGTGCTGCACCACGGGCCGCGAGTTCAAAATTAAAAGACACTCAGGCCCATTCCCTGGAAACCTGCAGATTCTTAATTAAGGGAAATAAGTTAAAAAACTTCCAGTGACTACTAGATTTATAGGGAGGATAAAATTAAACATGGCTACTAAAATCTGCTATAACCAAATCTTGTTAGAACTAATGTTCATTTATAGTTTGACTTCCCAGCATTTAATTCCTTCCCTGGTGCAGTAGAGGGACTGACAATTTAATACCCTGAAAGATGGCTTTATGACTTGCTCAGCTGTAAATCAAACTTTTAAAGTTTGTAAAAATTGCTAAAATAAAAAATGGTTTAATAGGAATGTTTTATGGTCCATAACGTTATTATAGCCATTTTATTCCCTCTGCATTGTTACTTTAATTGGATCACAACAATTCTTGAGATTCTCATTTTTATTGGATAAAACGTAATCTTAAATCAGAACGACCAAAACCATCTTCAATACGTCTTTTGATTTATCGCTGCTTTCCTTCAGTCCCTTTCTGTAGAGCTGCTGCCAGCCCAGCACAGAGCTCAGCCAGACCAGGAGCGTGTCCCTCCAAGGGCTGGCCGGCAGGATCGCTCCCCGTGC